ACAAGTGCAAGGTGATGCACCTGGGGAGGAAGAACCAGCACCATACCTACAGGCTGGGGAACTTCCTTCTCATCAGTACAGAGGCAGAAAAGGATCTTGGAGTTGTCATTGATGCCAAGATGAACATGGGCTGGCAGTGTGGGGATGCAGTCAGGAAGGCCAACCACACCTTGTCATCCATCCACAGATGCATCTCAAGCAGGAACAAGGAGGTGATACCCCCCCTCTATGCAGTACTGGTCAGGCTGCAGCTGGAGTACTGCATTCCATTCTGGGTGGCGCACTTCAGGAGGGATGTGAACAACATGGATAGGGTCTAGGAGGGCCACTCACATGATCAGGGGGTGGCAGGGCAAGCCCTATGAGGAGAGGCTCAGGGACCTGAACCTGTTCAGCTTCCACAAGAGAAGGCTGAGGGGGGATATAGTGGCCATCTACAAACTAGTCAGAGGGGACCAGCAGGCATTGGGGGAGTCCCTGTTCCCCCAAGCACTACCAGGAGTGACTAGAAATAACGGTCACAAGCTGGCAGAGGGTAGATTTAGACTAGATATCAGGAGGCACTACTTCACGGTCAGGGTGGCTAGGATCTGGAACCAACTTCCAAGAGACGTGGTGCTGGCTCCTACCCTGGGGGTCTTTAAGAGGAGGCTAGATGAACACCTTGCTGAGGTCGTTTGACCCCAGTACTCTTTCCTGCCTTGGCAGGGGGTCAGACTCAATGATCTGCTCAGGTCCCTTCTGACCCTACTACCTATGAAACTATGAAGCAAGAAGAAGGGCTTTTTATAGCTCATATCATAAAAATGTATTACTGTTTTGCTAAATCATCAACCTTTAAAAAATTCAGTAGAGCTTGATAAAAATGGAGGGCTAGATTCTGTTCCACCTTTCAGGTGTGTAAGTGGATTTAGGTGCCTAAGTGCATTTCTATTCCTCCCTGCTCAAATTCATCAACACCTATTAATGCATATACTGTTGTAACAGCTGCCATTTTACAATTAATGCTGGGTCATAGAAAAGCAGTAAAGAGAAGGAGGACCAACAATGTATTAATAGTTTTTAGGATCTCAGGAATAGAATTGTATTAAGGTGCCAAAGTCCATTCATGCATGTAATAGGTGGAACAGAAAGTGGCCCCAACAGTATTAGTTTCTGGACGTATCACCTGCATTGAACATGATTATTTTTCTCACTTTTCATATGTGCCAGTCAAACCGGCAAACAAACTACAAGATTGAGGCAGATTCTCCCTGCAGCTATTCCTCAAGATAGCTAGTGGTCCTTGTGCTGTGAGGCCCTTGAACTGAATACTAGGAGATAATTTCTTCTCTGTTCTCAATGTGTCCATCTCTGGCATCCAGACTACACAAGGCAGAATGAAAAAAAGAGTTTGGTTCAAATGTAGAGGGATAAGAAACAGTGCTGGGGAAATTGCAGGAGTCCTGGTTTAACATAAACCAAAGTCCCCCAGCATCCTAGATGCTTTGCATCCCTGGGCTGAGCTCCCTGTTCCAGAGCAGGGCTGGCTGCACCACTCTGCTCCTTAGCTGGAGAACTGACAGAGGCTGCAGGCACAGCAGCATCTGCCTGGCTTCCCCTTCCCCAACCCACCTAACACTCCCTGCTCAGGCAGGTATTCCCCGGTCTCTACCTCACCCCCCCCCACACACACACACGGGCTGTAGCCAGCATGTGGTATGCTAGCTAATGCTGAAAGGCTACTAAGGCAGACAGAACAGTGTCCTCTTAGGGCTTTTTTGAGCTAATCAACAAGTCAGCTGATAATGTCCCTCTGTTACTTCCTTGGAAAAAGTTGTTTAAGAAGAGCTTAAACTAAAGAGAGAGGCTTTTGTTTTCTTGATGGGGTGCTAAATGTTGTGTTATCAACTCCCTGCTGCTCTCTCACTGGTCAGGAGCAGCAAGGGTAGGGAGGAACCCCTTTCTAATCACAGTGTCTTGCCAGGGTCTAGCCACAACCCCCTCAGCTCAGCACTAAAGATGGGAAGGGAGGGCTGCTCTAGCGCCCCCAGGCTTCTAGCCTGAGCCACTGCAGGCATGTTCCTGCATTTCTTCAGTCCAGAGGGAAGGTCCGTATGGTTGCAAACTGATTCAGCCTAGCCAAGTTAGGCTAACCTGTTAAGACTGAATCAGTTCAAGCTCAGGCTTTTTGAATGTCTGCCCCTACCCAAAAGGTTCAAGAGCCGAGGGGAGAGTAGGCCAGGGACCCCAGCGAAGGCACATAAAGGCATAGCAGTAGGACAAGAGCAAATAACAGATAGATAAACAAAGTGAGAAAGAAATAACCAAAATGGAAAAGGGATAAAAAGTAGGGCTGTGTGAAATTTCAGCAGCCATTTTGTTTGGGAGGTGTTTCAGCACCCAAAACACTGAATTCAAAATGAAACAGCAGGCTCCAAAACATCCCTGAACTGAAATATTTCAGAAATATTTCAGATAGTTTTGTTTCATATGTTTCAGAATGTTTTTCAGATGCTCCCAGGAAGAGTCCGGCACAGCCCCACAGCCCTCCTTTTAAAGTGCCAGGAGGCTAGGGCCAGGTGGGGGATGGAGCCAGGCAGGACAGCCATAGGGGCTTCTCCCATGGCTTCCCCTGCCAGGGCAGAGGCAGAGGCAGGCACAGCCAGAGGAGCCACGGGAGAAGTCCCCAGGGCTGCCCTGCCTGGCCCCATTCTCCGCCCGGCCCCAGCCTCCCAGCACTTAAAAAAACCAACAACCCCCACACTCACCAGCTGCAGCAGCAGCAATTGGGGCCTCTGGGTGCTCATGGCAGAGCCCCCCTGTGCAGCATGGGGTGGTGGAAGGCAGTGGGGATTGCCCCTCCCCTTGGCACTGCACCACAGCTGTCACATCAAATTGGGCACTCTGAGCTGTCTGGGAGCTGGGGAGGCTCCAGAAGTCAGCCGGAGCCCAGCACCACTCAGACCCAGCAGACCCAGCTTCCAGAGTGTGCGCAGCACTGCACCTGCACCATGGAGCAGCTGCCACCTGCCAGGCAGGGGTGGGGCAATCCCCATGGCCCCCCCACTTCTTTGTGCTGCATGGTGGGGCTCTGCCACAAGCCCTCAGAGGACCTGATCACTGCTGCTGCCGCCAGTGAATGCAGGGCTTTTTTTTTTGAA